CTTGTTTGCCAGTGTTAGTAATGCGCTGCAATCTACCAGGCCTCATACTCCTAAGATAAATCTTTTTGCTTCACGCTGTCTTTTAGTCCCCAAAATTTTGTGCCACCAAAGCTAGTCGTCCATTTCCTTTGAGCAGACGAAAAAATAACTGTCGTGCTTCACCTGCAACAGGAACATCCACATTACACTTCCGCAAACGCACGTTATAGTGCTACTGCGTAGATTAACTACTTATTCTGCCTGGCGGTTGCCGTCTTTATAAAACCTGCACAATAACTTCCGAACCAACAAGCTCACTGTCCCTACGTTCACAACAGACACATGCAAACAAAACAAAAATTCTATCAAAAAACTTTCACATGAATGCTTAAAAAGCTCAAGGAATATCCTTGCGTCTCCTCGCTCACTCAAAATTTGTTTCTAACTTTGCTCTTACTCCACAAATGCTCCTAGGCGTGTCGTTAGGCAACCGCACAGCGCTTATCTTTAGAAGAAAAAACAAACACTGCTTAAATAATAAACAAAACCTAGAACTTGCTACCTAAACGGTAGCCCCTATCCGAAATACTTACAGGACACTTTCCAAAATCAAAACCAATCTAAACAGTCAAAACACAACTTTAAAAGAAAGACAAAAAGAAATTAGCCAACGAGCCTTTCCAAACCCTTACCGCTGTCACTCTATTATAAGACGAAGGTGTGGCGGCCGAGCACTTTGGGCCTTTCTTGGCGAAAGGGGGAGGGAACAATTGCAAAACCCATTCGCTTCGCCTCCGAGCCCCGCTAAGCTCCTCGCTGGTGACCTGTATTGTTTCCCTCGCTTGGCTGCTTTTTGCAATCCAGCGACCATGCACTCCCGTGTCCCATCAAACGTGCCGTGGAAAGAACTACCGAAGGTTGCCTGCTCCCCTTTTTCTGTCTGCATTTTGGCCCAACGCGCCCTTCTTTCTCTCTTCGTCCGGCAGCTCGAAAGCATGCAAACCAACTTCGGTGAGGATGAGAAAGACCTCATTCTGCTTATTATGCCCCTTCCTTCTGTTTGCATGATCGCCCAGCGCACGTTTCAGTTTTGTCCGGCACTGACGAGTGCCGGACGAAATGAGTGCATCATTTCCTTGTACCACGAGACCTTTTCAGGTGTTACCAGGGGGCCCTTGGAGATTAAGCAACATGCTTAAAATTGGTCGCATTCCACCAGAAAATCTATGCCCTGTACTCAACAAAGGTCCGAAATTCAGCTACAAATCTTCTATGATAGGTTACAAATTGCTTATCATGAAGCAGTAGGTTGTTGAAGAAGCCAATGTAGACGCTAGGGACCACATCATAAAATGGGGCATAAAAGTTCGATAACCGGGGAAAAACGTCACATGTCGGATTGATTGAGACCTTGAAGGAAGCTTGGGAGGCATAACACTTGAGACAATGAGAAACGTTGATTATCTGGTTTTTTAATGAACAATTGCTTGTGTTCAGAGTGAATGCCCTGAAATTTAAAGAGAACGGAGCGGCTCTGAAATTCACTTTTGAGGTCCCAAAAGCAGACTGCAATAAGTTTTTCTCATTATGGACGTACTGGCAGTATTCGGCTACGTCGATCCTTGATTCACAACCTTGATTTTCCTTTACTCAAATTTTGTGAAGTCATTCCAGCATCAAATGAGGGAGGATTTGGATGGCCAGCTCACTAGGCTTAGGTTATCGAACTTTCCAGGTGGAACTTGCCTAAAGGTTATTACCGATGAACTCAAACAAGTAGGAAAGAGCAGTAGTGACATGGTGGGCATTGATAAGGATTTGCCCTTCAAGTGCATTTCATATCTTCATGCTTTCTCCGACTGTACATATAAAAAAGGTAGGAAACGGATTAGGTGTTAATAGAGTTTTTTTTTGTCCAGGAATAAGTTGGGCAGAGCCTGCGCATTGGTGGATGGAAAAATTGCACGCAAAGAAAAAAAATTGTGTAAAAGGTAAAATTATTCATCGGAAACCGGTGACTCATACTAGCCATGTGCTACGGGTGCACACAGTGTGCGCAAACTTTAAGCAACAAGCGTGAGCAATAACATTTCGAAAAAAAAATACAGTAGTGAATGAGGACAGGGTGTGCTATATATTATCCCCTTGCCATATGGTAAGTGCTATATCAGACAAATCTTGAGTTATTTAAAGAACCGCTTAGTGAGCAGAGGGCGTCGTTGAAGGCCCACTCTTTGTAAAATCTGTGCCTACATTGCATAGTTCGTAAGTGTCACCCTTCACTTCACGAAACAAAGGTGTTGTCACTGCACACTGATGGCAAAAAGAGTGAAGTTGTTGAGGTTCTTATTTTCCCGAGTAAAGCAACACGTGTGCTGCGAGGGCTTCGGTCACACTTCAATAAATATAGGTACATTAGCTGCCAACCTATATTTTTTAAGTCGCTTTTTGCTATTTATATTTATGTTTTTTCAATAACCTTTCAGTTACTAGTCCGCGCTTGTTCGTGTGCTTTCTGTGTTGTTGTTTCTTTTTTCGCACAGTTTTTGTAAGCATCAATTATCAAATCGCCCAGCGTTCAGTCCCCTTAAAGGGGCTCGCAACACTTTTTGAGCATGGTCAGAAAACGCATACGATCGGCAGTAGAGCCTCCCGAGAACACGCGAGCCAAATATTATAGCGCAGCATGCGGCCTGGAATTCACAATAAGTTATCAAATTAAGCTGAAAATTGCTTTCTCTTCTCTCAATAAATCATAGATCATGCTCAAAAATCACACGTAGCAAGCCCATCTATCAGCCGTTGGCTGATTTGAACATAGTGTGCTCGCTCTTTACAGGGATCGCCGCGGGAGGCCACTACTTGTCCACGCGTGCACACGCAATCACACTGAAAAAGCCGCGCATTCAAAGAAAAAAGACAAAAGGAACTCAAGGTCACGAGGCGCGCGTGACGTTTTTCTGTGGCCCTGCCAACCCTCCCTGCTTAGCTTCCAATGCTTTCGTCATGACAAGAAAAGAAAGAATTCAATTGCAGCATGTGACAAAACTTTGTAACTCCACTCATACTGAACGGATTCTTAAAAATTTTGCAGCGTTGAATTCGTGAGGCAATAAGCTCTTCCAGAAAATTCATTCAGGACCCCTTTAGGTTCATATTTCTCATGTCCTGATAGTGATGTGCTGTCTATACCATCTAGGCCAACAAAAAGTCAGCCAGAGAAGAATTGATGAACATGAGGACAATGGAACTAGAGAACGCAAGAGAGCAACGGTGGGGTTATATAACAGGTCTTTTCATGTGGTAGAATACCGCCGTCAGTTACTGTGGCAGCTACTTAAAATTCTAATGTTTAGTTTGTCTGAACACAGCCCACGCTAGGTGCTAGACAATACTTCCACCACCACCTGAGCTTTATATTAGTCACTTGCACATCCTGCATGATGTCAGCTAAGTCCTTTGTGATACTTCTAAATATTGATATATATATGGTGGGCTTTAGCGTCCTAAAGCCGCCATATGATTATGAGAGACGTTGTAGTGAAGGGTAACGGAAATTTTGACCACCTAGAGTTTTTTCAACACGCACTCTAATCGGAGCACACGGACCTAGATAGAGCACTTAGGCCTTCATCGACCCTCCATCAAAATGCAGCCGCCACAGCCAGAATTTCATCCCGCGACCTGCGTGTCAGCATCCGAGTACCTTAACAACTAGACCACCACAGTGGGGCCTATTTTACTTTTTTTTCACCCGGTTGTTACGCTACAAGGAATCCTGGGCTGGTTTTATTTGCAATGAAACGTGGGAGACGCCTGCTACGCGCTGAGCGCGTCCTGCAGGAGTCAACTAAAGTTTTTTTCATTCCATTCCATAATTGTATTAGAAGGAAATTATGTGCTGGTTTCGATCATGAACTCTATAGTAAAAAGACGAATACTTTAATGGCAGAGTCCACAAATAAGCAGCGAGAACATTTACAAATCTATACTTGGCCAGAAACCAACGCTCGCAAAAATTGTAGGGTCAGTGATACCGCATAAATTATTCTTAGATTCTTGCGTGAATTAGGTTTTGTCGTTGTAAAAAAAGAGTTGCCAGGGTTCTCACAAAAAAGGATGGAGCCGTTTGTATTGATAGGGTTTATTGTTAGCAATGATTTTGAAATTAGTTTAACATTATGTTTTCAATATGTCGTCTTTTTGAGAGCATCGTAGATTGATCGCAGTAGAAACCCTTAGTGTGCAAAATACCTAAACACCTAATGGCTTAACAAAGTATGATTGAAATATTCTTGGTTACACAGAACATTCCAGAACTCATATGTGCGTTTTTATTGCGCTATAAATGCAATTACCCTAAAAAATGAAGGCCAATCCACTTTGAGTGTTGTTCCCGCTAGTACAACAGGGGACGTAATTTTGTACCGACTTGAACTCCATGCCATTTGTTTTTAATAATTTTGCTCTATAGTTTTCATGTTAGATAGATGTGCAACGCTTTAGCGAATGTTGTCTGAGAAAAGCGTGTGCAATGCTTTTTACTAACGTTTACTGACTCGAACAGTTGTGGTTGGGCCCCCTGAGGTGCTCGAGAATGAAAACTTGGGGCAATGTCCACACAGCTGCAACATAGGCTGTACTGAATGAATGCGTCTACATCACCAATTTTATTGCAATCGAGGTACTGCAGGGAACAAAAGGAAAATCAGATGCAGCAGCGTATTTTACCCTTGTAGAATTACTAACGCTCAAATAATTATCCGTCATATCAAGAAACATTAGGCAATCAGACCGCTTGTCAGAACAGGGCCATGTATATGACAGAGCTGGGTAACACAAAGCCAAACAAAATCTTGTGGCCAACGAGCATTGTAAAACTGACGGGAGTTGCATCCAAGCGGGGTTCATTTACCGGATATGACGATGAAGAAAAAGAAAACAGTAGTGGATATCTCCTGCATTTCCACGAGCGGAAAAATGCAGGGCTGGTTTTGTGGAAGACAATATAAAGGTTGGTAGCCACTGAAAGTACTTCGCAGTTAGCCCACGTTGCGGCAAGCCCTCAGCATGTGTGTTACACCGTCCGTAGGGACTATAACCCTTGCACTGTGCGCCTTCTTTGTCGCGCCTACGGTAGGAAAGGCCACTCAAAAGCTTCCCCGCAATGTGACAGATGCATTCGAGGTGGGTCAACCAGATAACGGTACTCGAGAAATGTTCCGTGAAAGTAAGAATAATGGAAAGTTTTGATACAAATCAGACAGAAGTGTAAAACAACTATGGTTTTGTTTTGTTCCGCGAAGCCTACAGCTTGTGGCACGAAGACCAGCATAGAGAGTGCATGTTGTTGTAGTAAGAAATTTTGGTGCAGTACTCAGCATACAGTGATCGGTGAAGTGTTTTTACCATTCCTCGTCAGATATAGCAAGTACAGCACAAATCAGTTTGCCCCCCTCATTTCAGTTGTTTGGCAGTTTCCCTTACGTCGTGTTGGAGTACACGTCCGGCGATGATCCGATATTTCAGTGCCTCACGAACAAACGAGTTCAGCTGGACATGAAGAAGCAGACGGCTACCTATGTGTGGATGTTCAAGGGGCATGGTGGCACTAAGAAGTAAGCATTCTCGTTCCTAAGTGTTGCTGCCACAGAAGACAGGTGACGCTCAATATGTGTGGCTATTGAGTTGCATATTTAGCTGTGGCATGCGTTTCTGCCGGTTTCTGTAACGCTCCTCTGGCTTCTCTAGGAGTCAAAACAGAGTATTTACGTAGGCAGGGGGTGGTACACTGAACCGGCGCACACTTTTATACTGAAATTTTTTTTCTTACACGGGAGTCGGCTAACAAAACTACCCTCTAAAATACTGGCCTACTGAGTCCTGTGCTCAGATTAAGGGACTCCTAAACCCCCGCCTTCGGAATAAATTTTGCCTATGCCACTACAACAGAAGTGCAAATCTCAGTAATTGACAAGTATTTACTATTACACGAAGCGAAGGCACAGATCGTTTAAAGTACTCCTGACGCCAAATTGGGAAACCTGAAGTGTTGTGTTGTTTGAAAGCCTTTTATGCGAGGACACTTCTCAGCGATCATTAGTGGCGAGCGTTGCCCCTAATTTCTTTTAATTTGGCTTGAAAGCAAGGGTGCATGCTTGTCCTTGTATTATTCTCTGTAGTTTGACGTGAATAGGGGGTCTGCTCGGGACGTTGCAAATGTCAAGCAAGTATTGTTGGCGTCAGGGCACATTTGCGGGGCGCGCACAATACTCCGCCTGGCAACCGGAGAGGACTATTGTTTGTCACACCTCTCGCTGGGTTATCGGGCTGGTGTTCAGGTGGTTTTGGCTGCTTTGGCCAGAAATGCTTTGCTTTTTTGAGAGGAAGGTGCTAAAAGCATCCAAATCAATTCATTGGATGCATGTATTGAATAGCTGTACCCTTTATATTGGGCGGCGGCTAACGCCACCTAGCCGTAATACTTAGTGAACAAAACTACATTTGTTATTATTATAAACAGCAAAGATAAAGAGTGTAAGTTTCCAGTAAAGAATTTAATTTTCACTCGTGCCTTAATTTTAGTCACTAATAAGTAACCCCTTTCTAGTTATTTCTACACGCTTAAAGTCAATTTTGCCCTCTGTTGCCCTAAACACCAGTGCTTCGAAAACCTCTGCGCCATCCTCCTGAACTCTAGGGTGAAACCCTTTACAGGAAATTATCAAGCGTTTGGCGGTTTCCTGCTCCTGTCTACACGCGCTGCATACTGTGGCCGCCCCTTTGTATTGGGCCCGATAAGTCTTGATTCACATTACTCCCGTCCTGGCCTCAAACAGTAGAGAACCCGAGAATTATCATAGATCCTTTCCTTGGCAATTTCCTGCTTAGAAGTTTGATAAATCTCTAGTGCCGACTTCTTAATCATGCCTATTCTCCACATGTCGGTCTTCGTTTCCTTCACCTTCTTAACTAATAGTTGTTTTAGGTTTGTCCTCCAGCTGTTTTCCAAGTATTCACCTGTGAATTTTCTCGTTCACTTCCTTCATTTTGTACCGACATTCCTCATGTACAAATAGCTGAAAAACTTCCTAATCCAACGCTTCTCCTCCATTTCTCACAATCGCTTCTCAAATTTCATCCTGCTGCTAGCTTTCCTGCCCTCGAATGAATTCCATCCCTTATCCCCCTCTACTCCCTCATTTGGTGTATTCCCGTAAGCTCCTAAAGCAAGCCTGCCTACTCCACGTTGAATAATTTCAAACCTTGCATGAACCTGTGATCTCATGCACAAGACTGCATTGCCGAACGTCAGACCAGGAACCATGACCCCTTTCCAAAGCCCTCTCATAACATCATACTTTTTGTAGTTCCACATTGCCCTATTTTTTATCACCGCTGTATTTCTGTTACTTTTTGTCGTTGCATATATCTCGTGTTCCCTTAGGTACTCGGTCCTATTGCTTATCCATGCACCCTGATATTTGTGTTTATTCGTTATCTCTAGTGTGACCTCCCTTATTCTAAGCTCACTACCTTCATTACCATTGAAATTATGACTACTCATTTTTTCTTACTGAATCTAAAATGTAAGCAATCTCGCTCATTACCGCAAATGTCTCTCAATCCCTGCAAATCTTCGTTGTTGTCCGCAATTCCCCCTATATCATCCGCGTACATCAAGGCTGGTAGTGTCTGCCTAATGAGTTTTCCTTGTCTGACAAAACAGACGTTGAAGCCAAGTCCAATTCTCTCTGAATTGACCTATAATCCGTGTATGTACGTCATGAATAACAACGGTGACAGAGAACACCCCTGCCGAAGCCCCTGTTTTACCTCTGTGAACTTGGATACATGTTTTTCCCACTTCATAACTACCTTGTTACCGTTATAGATATCCTTTAAAAGATTAGCAACTCCATCTTCCACACCTAGTGTGTCCAAAATTCCCCACAAGTCCTCTTGAACCATGCTGTCGTAGGCTCTCTTGATATCCAAAAATGCTAGCCACAAGGGCTTGTGTTCCTTTTCTGCTTTTTTGATGCACTGCGTCAGTGAGAACAGATTGTCTTTTAACCTTCGGTGTTTCCCAAACCCATTCTGCAGTTACCCTAGCACCCCCTCATCCTATATGCCTGCAGTCTTTCCTTTATATTCTGCACACTAGCCAGTAAACCACCAATGTCACTTACATAGGACGGTAGTTATGTGAGCTCTGTCCCCCTTTCCTCTATAGATCATGCTCATCTTGCTAAGTTTCCATTCCTCAGGGACTTCACCATCGAATGATTGTTTTGATCACTGCCTCTCTCGAAGCCTGCCTATACTTGCGACCTAATTCCTTCATATGCATAATTGGGATGCCGTCAGGGCCTTACATGTACTACTAGGAACTGTCTTCTCGCAACAAGGGTGTTTGTGCAAGCAGGCGTTTGCTGTGTAGTGACACCATGGACACGAGCTAACGGGGAGTTTCGACCTCTCCCGCACCTAGCCATGCGTGGCTGAGCCGTATCCGGGGAAAAGGGGATCCTCGGGGTTGAGTCGACGCCGGGTGATTAAACCTTTAAGGCCCCTCAGCAGAGGCAACACAATTCTCTGGCCGCGGCTTCACGTAGACGGCACCCCTAAGCTGACCCACCCAGGGGAAGTAGGCAGTCGCCTTTTCTTATCTCTTGTCCCTACAGCTTCTTTATCTCTCACTTTCAGTCGGTCCTGTCTACTTCTTTCTTCTGTTTATTTCCAATTTTCCTGGCGGCAAGGATTTACCCTGTGCAAGCAGCCTACTTTGGTCTAGGCGCATAGGGTTATGGCAGTGTTGTACGGCAAGTCATCACATCACATCACATCACATCACTTTAATACCTTAAAGACCCGCATGTAGGGGGTATTACATAAAGGGTGGGTTACAGGTAAATGTACACAAGTTTTCAAATGGAAATGTGCGTGGTGACCTTTTCTTTAATTGTTGATGGACACGTGATGGCTGGAACGTCACAGGGAAGGCCATTCCAGGCCACTGCTACACGGGGGAAAAAAGAGGCAGAAAAAGTAGTAGTGCGAGCATGTGGACGGGCAATTTGAAACGTGTGGGCAGTGCGGTGAGATATGCGCGTCGGTGGGACGATGTAGGGTGCTTGATTAAGAGGGCTGTGAAAGAACTTGTGTAGCGAACAAAGGCTGGTAATGCGGCGGCGCAATGAAAGATTCGAAAGACCAGTTTCACGTTTAAGGGATGATATGCTTATGTTATACGAATATGAAGAATCTATGAACCTAGTGGCGCGGTTTTGCACAGACTCTAATTCATTTATCAAGTATACCTGGTGCGGGCTCCATATGGGAGCTGCATATTCTAGTTTAGTTCGGATTAAACATTTATAGGCGAGAAGTTTGATGTGAGGTGAGGCATGACGCAAATGACGCTTCAAAAAACCCAGAGTTCGGTTCACTGATGATATGACGTTCGTGATATGCGTGCGCCATGAAAGATCACTGGATAAGGTGACACCTAGGTATTTATAGGATTTAATTTGTTCAAGAGTAGAGTTAGCTATTACGTAAGAAAAATGCAAGGGATTATGCTGGCGTTGAAAAGAAACGAGTTTGCATTTAAAGGGGTTAAGCTCCATCAACCACAGGTCGCACCATTGCTGTACACGTTGAAGGTCATTTTGAAGTGCAGTTTGATCAGAGGGGTTAGTAATTTTGCGGTATAGAACACAATCGTCGGCAAACATGCGGATATGAGAAGATACATGCATGGGTAAATCGTTAATATATATTAGAAACAGAAAGGGTCCGAGGACGGAACTTTGGGGGATTCTCGGTGTTACCGAGAGAGAGCTAGAATGTTTATTTCTAATATCGACAAACTGGGATCGGTTAGCAAGAAATTCTGAAATCCATGCAAGAATTTTGGGGTGCAGATTGAACTGGGCAAGTTTTAGTAATAGGCGTTTGTGTGGTACCTTATTGAAAGCTTTAGTGAAGTCTAGAAAGATTGCATCAGTCTGGAAGTTACGGTCAAGATTAGCGTGCAAATAATAAGTAAATATAGCTAGTTGTGTTTTACAAGATAGACATTTACGAAATCCATGCTGACAAGAATGAAAGAAATTGTTAGCGTCCAGAAAGTTTATTATGCGAGTGTATATGACGTGTTCCATGATTTTGCATGAGGCGCTGGTTAGTGAAATGGGGTGGTAATTTAGGGGTGACTGTTTGTTACCTGATTTGTGGACCGGAATCACCTTTCCCACTTTCCAGTCTTCTGGCAGCATTCCTGTTTTAAGCGACAATGAAAACAGCATCGACAAATACACTGCAATAATTTGTTTAGTGTTTTTTAACTGTTTAGAGTTAATGTCAACGCCAGCCGATGATGAAAGTTTAAGTCTGTCGATAAGGGACGAAATCCTAGCAACAGAAAATTTCACTGGAGTCATTATCGGTAACGTCGTAGTAGGTGGCGAGGGAAGTGGCGAATCGGCTTCTTTTGTGAACACAGAGGAGAACGCGATGTTAAAAACGTCGGCACAATCACCGTCGCTAACTTCCTCACCATATTGGTCAGTAAGCGTTATTTCGCGCGGCGGTTACGGGTTTATAACTTCCC